GCAGAAGAGGCGACTGCTGTCAAAAGCTGGTTTTACCCTTTCAGCAAACTCTGGTTCCAGGTGCTCGGCCAACGACTTCCACGAATTCAGTGGTTTGACGTCCATTAAAACTGGGCAGCAAACACGGACTAAACTACAGCAAGTTTAGGCATTAACATGGATTGTCATAATTTCAAATTTAATCCCCAATAGTTTTGTTTTTAAACAAACAAACAAACATGTTTTTTATTTAAATGAAAATAATCCAATTGACATTTTTCTTAAATCCCTTTTGTGTTTTTTTTTGTTTTTGAAAAAATCCTTTTGATTCACCCTGATTTTAGAAGAACTTCCACATTCAAGTTAATCAAACTCTCTCTATTTCGTTATAGGAGAGAAAGAAGCAAAATTCATCATATCACTAATTCATTGAAAATTATTTACTCGATCTTAAAAGAGACTAACTAGAGGGTCGGACACTTGTTTGTTTATCTAGGCCCAGTTTCCATTCCTGAACCAGCAACAATTGCAGGGGATAATGCCCCAAACCCTACAGTTTATTGTCAAATCGTCTGAGCCATTCCTCGTCTGTTCTTCTTGTTTTATAAGTTTGAGACCAACAAAAACTTCCCCTCGGCAGTCGGTGCCCATGTGGCGCTGCAGACAGAGGAGCCTGAGCAGTAACCTTGTGACATCGACCACAACTCAGCACCCGCCCATCACTCACTCCCTCCACTAACCTTGATCTTAAATCCGCACCCTGCCGCCTGCCTGGGTCATCTCTCCCTTTGAAACCGGCAGGTTATCTCATTTTAACCAATGTGGTTGAATTATGCAAATCTCCTGGAGAGAGTTAGCACTGACTGGCTGAGTTAACTGTGATGTTACAAAGCGCCTCCGCCTAGAGAACCAATTTAATGAGCGTGGTGCAGAAAATCAGGCTTTTCTGGTGCTGCTGTTTTCCACTTGTCACCAAGACCAACAAGGTTCTTCCCACGGATGCCGAGAAATTTTGAAATCAATTTAATGTTGTTTAAAAATTATCGTGTTACAGACAGACAAAGAAATGCCATTGAACTGACACAGGGTGCTACAGCTGCCGATATAGCACCAAATTAGACTTGCCCGTCTGGTCAGAGCCCAGAGACCCCGTGGACCTCGTGGTAGCAGGTGAGGGCGCAGCTCAGTGTCCCTGCTCCCAGCCCCACCCCCAACCGGACACTCAGGGTATTTCGACGCTCAGAGCCAGGCTCTGCCCTGAGCCTTGGGCCCAGCAGAGGGGACACCTGGCTGGGGAGTGGGGACAGAGTTATTGGGGGGTTCCCAGCTGGGATAAGGAGCAGCTGCTGGAGATTTGGGGCTGAGGGAGAGGGGGATTCCTCAAAAACAATGACAAAACAGCTGTGGTGGGGAGGACCCCAAGGATTCCTGGGCAGCTGAAGTAGGGTGAGAAAGAAAACACATGGGACAGCAGGCAGCAGCTCCCCACAGCCCAGAATGCTCCTGGTGGAAAGGGCTGGTAGAGTTTGGAGGGAGGCTGCCCAGTCCCTGGAGAGAGACACCAGCCCCCAGTGAGGTAGCAACCGGCACCAGACAAATCAATTAACAGCAGGATACTAAGGGAGGAAAAATAACTTTTGAAGTGGTAAGAGTGTGGCCCATTACAGACAGTTGACAAGAAGGTGTGAGTAACAGTAGGGAGAAATCAGTATTGGGGATATTAGGTTTAGGTTTTGCAATGACCCACCCAGTACCAGTCTTTATTCAGGCATAATCTGATGTTGTGCAGTTTGCAAATTAATTCCAGTTCTGCAGCTTCACGTTGGAGTCTGTTTTTGAAGTTTTGTTGTTGAAGAATTGCCAGTTTTAGGTCTGTTATTGAGTGACCAGAGAGATTGAAGTGTTCTTGTAGAGTGTGGACTCATGCCTGCGGCGCCTCCTGCTGGTCATCTTCGGGAATTAGCTCTCACACCTTGGAACACCCTCTGGAGGCCGGTGATCCATCTGTCCTCTGGCCCCCCCGTGTCCCTCCCTGGACCCTGGTGCCCTTGTACCTGGGGTGCTGCCTGTGATGAAGTGGGGGTTTTTCTTGTTTTCTGTGGGGTTTCAATGGTTTGCATGCGGAGGGGGTGGGACTCAGTTTCCCTGGGTGTTACTGGTTTAACGAGGTGAGGGGAGAGGAAGTTTGTTGTTACAGAGAACCGGGGAGGGAACTTGGGACTGCAGCCAATGGCCTGGAGGATGGATACCCCAGTGACTGGTGACCTGAAACCCCGACCCAGAGACCCAGCTCAGGAGTTGCAGCCAGTTCTGGCCAGTGGGAGAACAATGGGCTGCAGAGTGAGGGCCCACTGACCTAACCAGCCAGTTCCAGCCAGAGGACAGAAGCGAGTAGAGGAGGCCCCAGTTTATGACCCTGTTTACCTGGAGAGAAGACAATGAACAGAAGCAGGGCTATGGGCAGGG